TCCAATTTACGCTACATTAAGTTTTAAAAATTGTTTTATTGAATGAATTTTTATTAAGTTCAATTTATTATGCATTAATAATAGAAATTAGAATAAACTAAAACATACAGTACTGCAGTCTTATGTCTGTTTGGGATTTTTCATCAGAGGAAATACTGGATTCCAAACTGGTGGTACGGAGAAACCATTTCCCCTGTTGAAATGAGGATGTATTTTTAATTTCAATGGCGTCTAGCAGCAACCTGGGTAGATAACGGATTTCTTTTGTAAGGACCTAGGGTTTGTCAAACTTCATTGAATGTGTAGGTTTATCCATGACATGCTCGCAGACTGCAGACTTGTTTATGCGACGGTGTTTGACATCAGCTATATGTTCTTTGACACGGGTACAAATACTTCGCTTCGTTTGTCCAATATAAGCGAGACCGTACTCACAGTCAAGCTTGTAAACTCCTGCATCCTGTAAGGGGATGTAACATTTTACGGGTCTCAGGAACTGAGAAATCTTCCCTTAGAGGCTTGAAATAGGTCTTGTTAGATGCATGCCTGAGGACTCTTCCGATCTTTTCTGTAACACCTCACACGTAAGGTAAAATGGCAGGTCTTCGCCCGACTGTTGGTGGTTTCACACGGGGCCTGCGGCATTGGCGTGGAATCTTCAACTTATTCGCATGTATGACTTGCTTTATATGCTGAAGTTCCCCTGCCAGATGATTACTGTCACAGACACCATGTGCTCTCTGAAACAAAGATTTGCCCACGGTAGCTAACTGGCTAGGATGGTGATGGGAATTACCATTGAGGTACCTATCTGTATGGGTTTTCTTTCGAAATACAGTGTGGCCTAAGGTGTTATTAGGATTTCTTTTAATTTAAACATCTAAAAAAGCTAAAGTACCGCAATTCTCTTGTTCCATAGTAAATTGGATCTTAGTACTAAAAGAATTAAGATGGTGCAAGAAAGAAGGTATGCTATCTTTGGGTAATATTGTGAAAGTATCATCAACGTACCGTTTGAAAATCTTCAGCCTAGCTGGGGCCATGGGTAAAACTCGCTCCTCGAAATCTTCCATGAAAATATCGGCAACAACGGGAGATACCGGGGAGCCCATCGCTATACCCTCGATTTGTAGGTAGTTTCCATTATTCCACAATAGATAGCCTGATGTTAGGCAGTGTTCTAATAATTCTGCATATTCAATGGACATATTATGTTCCCTTAGCTTTCTACGTACAATTTCAATGCAGTCTTTTACTGGTAGGTTGTAAACAGCAACTGAACATAAAACTGACCATGATGTCATCATCAGTTAACCGTAGATCTTTGATTCCACTGATGAAATGATATGAATCATTCACATGTGTAGAAGTTTTCCCTCTCAATGGTGACAGTACCTTTGCCACGTGTTGAGCCAGTTTGTAGGTTAGTAATATAGTAGTATTTGTAGAAAATACGGCCCATTTGGTGTAAGTTCTACCCCAAAAGGGCTGTATTTATATAGTATTAAAATATAGTGGCCAGGAACCAGAGAAAGGGCGAAAAAAAGGTGGGATGACGATGGAGGAGGTCGCATCGTCAGGGTTGTTAAGTATCGGTATCGGTAGCAACCCTTGATTTCTTGCTCTTTACTGTCGGGGAACGTCCGTCTTGTGAGCGGTTGTCGATGTTTATTTGTGTGTGTTCCAAACTCAAATAATAAAATATATTAGGAATGTTAGTTAGCACCCTTTTCGTCGCGTCCCCTTTTTTGTTGCGCGACATCACGGGACTGGATGGTAGTATTTATGATACGCGGTAGGTACGCGGTAAACAATAAGTTTGATTATTTTAAAATTACGTGAAAGAAAATATGCGGATTTCAAGTATAACTTACTTTCTTATGAAGATACATTGCATACGATATAAAAAGTAATTTTCCATTGAATTTTAACTGTCATATCAAACCTTAAGAGATTTGATAATAACTTTATCGAATACAGGTATTCAAAACACCTTATATTTATAAATGAAATTACAAATTCCAGATTTAATTGGTGGTGACACGATGGCAGCATTAGACCTGGGCGGCGGCTCCACTCAGATCACATTTGAGCTGAACGAGCAGGAAACCAAGGACTACCCCATCAGTGACCAGTACGTCGTACCTGCTGGGGAGAATATTACTCTATATACACATAGGTGATTGATTGTTACATTATTGTTGATCACAAACAACAGTACATACTTAATACTACACCAACTCGCATAATATACATTTTATTTAACTTTACATCTGCCTTTATTATTGATCGATTGATTTATGAAAGATCTATTTTTTATAATATCAAGTGGCGAACAAGTCTAGCGCCACTCATAGCTTTAAATCGCAAAGATATGAGGGGCACTGCCACTGCGCTCGTCACCCTGAGACATACGTTGACAAGTCCCATGTGCCTGTAATTTCACCAGAACCCTTAACTTTCTAAACCGGGACGCAGTAACGCTTGGCGGCAGAAATAGGTAAGGTGGGAGAACTTCCCTGGACGAACTCTTACACAAGGAGCTCTTATGCTGCTGATCGAACAAACACAAAAATCCCTTCGATCCGATTGGACTCGAACCAGCGACTGTTGCCTCAATATAACACTAATTTTAAATTATAAAATAAAACCGACCTCAAAAGTTCGTGGAATTACGTCTATTTTCCTAGTTTTTTTACAATCGGTTATCGCATAGTGCGCGAAACCGGGTTCATCCGTAGTTTGCCAACATCAAAATGGTATACAAATGCGTTACCGCGTAATGTACATACAAAAAAATACAGTCGAACTGAGAACCTCCTCCTTTTTTTTGAAGTCGGTTAAAAAAAAGATAATTTTGTTGTAGTAAAAATATCAGGATATTCAGTAAGACTAAAATTTTGCACTTGTCTATCTAACACACCTAGCTTCACTAAGATTTTATTCTTTATTGCTCTCTTCGGTTTGATTGTCAATTGCTCCTTTAACACCACAACCTAAACGTCAAGTAGTACACATCCTCCATATGATACCCCAGAATTACTAAAAACGAAAAGCTAAAAACAAAATAATGAAATTTTTACAATTATTGCAACTTACAAGTATATAGTTTTTATAAACTATACAACAAAATACGACATTATAATGCCGGGATTTCAGAGGGAGTGCATTAACTCCTTGAAATTTAGATAGTCTTTAGTAATCCAACTGTACTAATCGCACACTTTGTCACCAGCTATCTTAATTTGGGCCTCCTAGCGGCGCGCTATGGCATATTCAGGATGGAAGCTCAAGACAACACGACAAACAAGTTCCACTCAGTGTGTGTCGACCCTATCATCGTAGACGAGCCCTGGACTTATGCCAATAAAGAATATATAGTTAGGTAAATATTTATTTTCGCATTTGTTTTATTTTCGACTTTCGACTTTTCAAAGTGCCAGCAATTTTTTTTTAACGACTTCCCTGTCCCCATACAAGGCAATTATAGACCACCTCAAGTCCACAGAGTTTCTACAAAGTGTGTTTTTTTTTAAATACCTTCTACTTCAAAAATCAATATTAGACGGTACGAAAAAAAATGCAATATTTTTTGCTTCTAGGTTAGAGTTCAAGGTTTTTTTTGCCAAGAGTTCAGATACTAATATGGAGCAATGTGTCGCATATGCTTCCGTGGACTTATTTCAGAACGTTCCCGTGAGTCATATATGACTCATTGGACAGGGAAGTTGTTAAATCTCGCTGACCCAGCGTTAATAAGAATTAATTAAATTAATTAATTAAAATAAGCATTATGCACGCTAGGTAAGGAGGTCCGGAGTTGGATTCCTGGGAAAACTTATTTGGGGCCACGAACTTTTCTCAAAACAAGATTACTGCTAATTTTCCTAGTTTGCAACCTGGTAACTTGTAAATTAATATGTTCTGATTAGCAAGAATTCATATCTTTTATTCGTGTCCATCACGAAACGTTTCGCTTCCACATTTATGTGGCGAGCGGCAAGAGTTGAATTCCCTACCTGCGGACTTATTCCCCGAACGCTATAACATGGACCTTTTCAAGGCGAGAGTGCATAGGCATTATTTAGTTGTGCATGTTACATCATCGACCTCATCATCACTTTCTATCAGGTGAGATGGAGGTCAAATGCGCACTTATTTTTAATAATAAAAAAAACACCGAATGGCAGGAATCTTTGAAGGCATTAAAAGATTTGGAGATATAAAAATATTAAATAGATATAAAAAAGAAAGAGATATAAAATTTGCATATCCCAAAATTCAATCCTAAGGTTGTTTGGAAGAAATTGCTATATAACAATAAGGCTGCCTGTTGTACATTAACTTACTTTCTTTATATTTAAGTTACTGTGCTGTATTTTAACTGTAATTTTATGTGAAAGAAAGAATGTTTCATTCATTCATTCAAAAATTAAGAAAAATATATATAAAAAATAGAGAAAAAGGTTTAGTAAAAACAGAAAAAATACTTACAGAAAAAAATGTACACAAAATAAAAAATATTACTTTTTCTTTTTTCCAGCGGTGTCGAGCGCAAAGGCATGAAACGCGTGGAAGTATACAACCGCTGCCATAGTCTAATCAGACGCTATGTGATGTCTACGCTGGATTGGGAGCCGAAGATGCCGCCGCGGGGCACCGTAGCAGCCATGAGCTACTTCTACGACGTCGCAGCTGACGCTGGTCTCATAGGTGGATGTTTATTTTTGATTAAATGCACCGTACAAGCAAGTGTAACATGTAGTGTAACTGTATACAACCGGTTTGCATGTGCATATGTCTGCCGCGCGCAGTGTACTTACACACTATTCGCATCTCGCGGTGCACTCAAGTTGCACAGCGAGTCGCGCGCGCCATTCATTATACTCATTATAATCAGTCGATAACTTTTTATGCTTTATATTTAACTTTATATTTTAAGAGTTGATACTACCTCAGCTCGAATACAATTTTTTCCCGTACTAATACTGTTAGTTTTGCTTGGGTCGGCGGCAGGGACACTGGCTTTATTTCAGAATTAATTTTTTTACAATCGAAATTAAAGCTGTTTGAAAAAATGTATATCGTATACTATATAGGTGTTAAACATAAAAACATTGGTATATGTAATGTACCTATTGAATACAGCGGTTATCTTGTAACATTTCGAGGTAAGTTTGTGTTTATTCCTATCGTGAAAATTTTTAGGAATCGTGTTTTCATACCATTTAATAATTAGTGTTAGGATATATCCTCAATTTTACTATATATTTTTTCCTGTGTCACTGGGCGCTTAGTGTTAAATCATACTTTAAGCGCCTAGTGATACGAGGTGAAAGTTTTCACGCGGCAGCCTCGCGGCGAGTTACCACGCGTTCATGTACATTAATAATAATAATAATAACGCACACACTCAACATAGCCCCGCACTAGGGAAACCCTGTGTCGCGGGTGCCATGGACACACACATAGACAACCACAAATTACACCCAAACTCACGAGAGAAATAAATGTAGGCCATACAAATATTTCTCCCGGCCCAGGAATCGAACTCGGGGACCTCTGCGTGGCAGTCCGGTATGGTAACCGTTCGGCCACGGAGGCAGTTAAATTAATAACGAATCTGAATTCTATTTACTACGCAACAACATTTAAATTCCTCTGAATAATACAAGTTCAAGCCAGACTCGCCCGCGTGCCCAGGACGCTCATTTGAGTTATAACGTAAAAGCCAAACAATGCCATGACGCGCCCACACCATGTGAAATGAAATTCGTGTCGAATAAATGCCCTGTTATGCGGAATAAACCAAAGCCATCTCAAAAAAAACGCTTAAGCTAAAGCTGCGGGAGCATCTGTTAAATTTGCAAAAATTGGGGATATGAGTGGCTAGGGTAATTGCGGTTGTCTCTTGTTTGTCCACGTACAGGGTCGGGAGCGCGTCATGCTTGACATTTAAGATTTAATTTCAGCTCTGTGCCGCTTGCGATAGGAACGGTCCAAGGTCCAAGGTTTCAAGGCTTGTTATGCTCTTGGCTGTACCTCGTTTCAGGACTGCAAATAGTGTATTATGTGTGGAGGTTGGGAGGAAGAAGATTGAAAATTGAAAATTAATAATTTAAAAATGAAATCAGATTTTTGTTGGATTGCGAGTGGTGTCTCTATCCTATAGGGTCCTGGTAGAATACCAGCGTCGCGGGCAGCCGCGTCATTTATGCTGAGCCAGCGCCTTTTTCACTGCCATGACTTCCAAGTGTAATATTAGTAGATAAGAATATCATTATTGTTATATATAAGTTAATGCCTACATCATGTATCTGATGTCATGGTGGTGAATAAAGCTTTTATCTATCTATCTATCTATTTGTATCGACTCTATATAGTTCGCATGAAATGATAAAAGCGCTTTTGACGTATGATCATATGTGGTTACATTATACCAAGGGTACGTTTTTAGTTTCTGTAAATTAATTTAATAGATATTGATTGACACATAATTGTTCCAGATGTAATGAAAGGAGGAACTGTGTCAGTGGACCGGTATCGTGCTACGGCATACCGAGCGTGCTCTGCGTCTAACGTGGAACAACCTTGGGCCTGCATCGATCTCGTCTACATGGTGTCGTTGCTGCAGGACGCCTATAAGCTGAATGACCGTGATCCCATCTCGGTGAGTATTTTTTTTATAGTATGTCTTTTTTATACATACCTCGCCTAGAACTAGGTCTATTAAAAATACAAGGAGGAGGCATATTTTAAAGCTTTTAATTTTAATTCAATATAGTTGACGAAATCCACCTGTTTTGTACGAAAATGATGTGCATTTAAATTGATTTGTCAAAATAAGAATAAATTAGGCAAGAACGCAATTAATAATCATTAGAACGTCGTAACATTCAGAATTCCAGACATTTTTGGCAAAATTTTACCTTACACAATCTATTGATGACGGTGTCAACGACAAGTACATTACTATTTAAAATTTTATAAAAACTGGTAACCCAGTAAATATATATGTATTATATTTATATATTATATACGTCCACGGGACGCGTATGGTTTATACTAGTGAGATAGCAATACATCTGTCTCGCTCTTGCAAATAACGTAGGCAATATGATTGGTTGATTGTGTATTTAACATTTTAGTATACTATTCAGCGATTTTTTTTTTCTGAAGGTTATTTTGCAGATGGCCGCTGATAGCCGCAGTCTGGCCACCAGCGTTCAACTGCAAAGTGTCCTTCAGAAAAAATGCCAATAACGGCGTTTTGTTCCAACTCTCATCATCAGCATTCTGCAAAGAACCCGCAGCTGCTCGACACTTAAATACCAGCGAATACCACCCGAATTAATGACCCGAAGCTCTTAAACCTGCATTGCATTAAAAGGATCCTGTCAGTAATGTGATTGTTTTTTTACAGCTATTCAAAAAGATCGACGGACACGAGGTGTCCTGGGCGTTAGGCTTGGCGTACACTACGGTGATGAACCGGATTGCCGCCGTCACCGGGTAGATAGTATTATTAATTATGTTTAAATCATTTGGAGTTTGGATGAAATTTCCTTATTTTTCCACATTCGTTGACGTTAAAGGTCAAAATGCACATGCCTGTACTGGACCTATTACTGGCACGTGTATTTTGGCCTTTACAATAAATATGATTAAAATAATAATAGTGTTAAGGATGAATCGTCTAACTTTATAAATTGTGTGATTAAATCCGAAAATGCATTGTAAATAGAACCTACCCGTCGTAACTTGAAAGTCCACTTTATATTCAGAATTTAATATCTGGATTTCTTAAGGATTTCAATACTCGTCGTCTTATGTTTAAATTTTCTTCTTCTTTTTATCGTAACCATAATTATAGTAGTAATTCGTTTGTTTGCTTAAACCATTATATAACAGAAGATGTAACAAGAGACAGTGCCAGTACCAACATGTTTTGCATATATTAAGAGTTTATACAACCTCAAATGGCTTTGGTTGATTCCGCATAACAGCGAAAGTGTTGAATCAATTCAATTACTTGGAAAAAAATATATATTAAAATTGAAGATATACGCTGATTACTACACGGTGTGAAAACACGATTCCTACAAATTTTCACGATGGAAATAAACACAAACTTGCCTCGAAATTTTACAAGAAAACCGCTGTATTCAATAGGTACTTGACATACAGCAATGATTTTTTTTTATTTATATCATATTTATATCAACTGAACTGAATGGAACACGTATCGTATATGATATATATTTTTCAAATGGTTTTAATTTCGTTTGTAAAAAAGTAAATTCTGAAATAAAACCAGTGTCCCTGCCGCTTTATCCAATCAAGATGAACCGTATTAGTACGGGAAAAAATTGAATTCGTGCTGAAGTAGTATATACTCTTAAATAGCGTACAAATGTCTAGTTATACCTTGTCAATTGACTAACACAACAAGAAGAATGCCACAAGTTACTGTCAAATATTTCGTTTGTGCCATAAAAATTATTACTTCGTTTTAAATAGACGTAAGTCTATGTATCTAAGCAGTGGCCACCATGGTGAAGTGTGAGACATGTTTGCCAATCTTAAAAATGTAACACTAAAAAATATAACGATGTGGGAAATATATTTCTGTACCTAATGGAGCGATAAACATTTTGGACGCAACTGCACTTCTTCCATGATGGGTGTGAAATGTGAAAATTAATAATGACACTTTTGAGATGACTGACTAGACACTGGCAAAATTCTTCAAGAGCCGCCAGAAACTTAAAAAAAAGCATAGACACTTTTGAGTTCGACGTTTGGGTGGATTTTTTTAATTTAACCACTCCATTAACACCAATATTTAAAATTCACTACATGAGCTTTGTTCTCTCTAACAATGTACCTCTACAAAATTTGTTGAATAGCTGATCCCACTGGAACCGTTAAAAGGGCACCGCCTGTAAATAAAAAGAAGAGATTAGTAATTTCCAATAAATATGTAATGATTGTGAAAAAACTGAGAAGTGGCATATCTACAAACGCCAAAATGTATTAAAGAACGATGTCATTGATGTGTTATTTGGTTTAATACTAAGAGCGTTAGCGCACTACGTCCAATTTGTACCAGGCCTTGCTCAGACCATACTCGACCAAATTTAAAAACGCATGATGCGAATGAAGATTCATACTTGACATTGTCTTGAAATTCGATCGTGTATTACTTATTTGAGAGTAATTGTTTCGGACGCATGTCGGACGGAGAATGAAAAATGATTTCCCGAAATGTTACAAGGATCATTTTATCTCCAGCAGCTTGATTTTGATTGCCACTCCCGATCGGAAACTGCGTCTCTTCCGAGTCGAGGCGCATAATTGCGATTCACAACTGGCCGATCGGAAATTTTTGACATTTCTAATCGGAACAATAGTTGATTTAATTCACAATGTAGAAAGATAGAGTAGGAATCAGATTCATCTCGGAAACCCATCTGATTTCGAGACTCGGATGGGCTACCCGATCGGATCAATTCCTATTTAAATTAAAATCACCCTGGAGATGTACGATCGATATTAATATTTAGACATCCCAAGTGGGTCTGAGTTTTCTAGATTCGCATAAACTCTGATTCGGAATGAACACCAATCAGATGCAGGCTGCAAATGCGCTTTGCGTGATATAATTCAGCATTAATACGTAAGTTATGAAATAAGTTTCATCCAAAACTCCAAATGTGTAAATTTTGTAATACCTTTTTTACATTTTTTTGTTGTTTTGTTTGGACCAGAATTGCCGTGCATTTAAATATAAGCTGGTTTAACTAGGTATCATGAAATTGCTTGGGGGTTAAGTTTATTTTTAAATATTAGTATCAATTTGTAATAGTTTTGTCACTGAACACGGGTCTCGTGTAAAGTTCAAATTACGCTACCGCGAAACGAATTTTTATGTACATAGCAAAATGAATTTTATGCCAATGGTGTAGCGTACAGGCGACACGGTAGCTGCTGGAATTCCCGAGTTTGCCCACGAATTCTCCGCGACCTGTTTTTTGTCTCGTGTGTTGTTTGTACGTTACACAAATGACATGAAGTTTAAAATTGTATGATTACAAAAACTCACTTCAATTCAAATGCTAATTAAAACGTGGCTAAATGGCAAAATATTTTTTTTGGGATACAAAAAAAACCCATAACCCAATTTTAGAACAATGAAAATGTTTAATGATATATTTTCAGCTATGCATCGTTAGGGTAAGCTCCGATAAGTTGGAACACGCTTTTTAAAACGGATATTTGACCATTTGTCGCGTTTTAGTTAGTGGACGACACATGTAATTTGAACTTAACAGCGGTTACACACGGCGACTTTAGCAGCGCTTCTACAAGTATTAGTCGCGATCTAGAAGCTATGCAATTGTGATGCAAACACGATGCAAACGCGATGCACGTTTTTAATGATCCAATATAAGCGACAGTATCGTTGCATTTACGCGTTTGCATCGATGCAGTCGCGTGTTTGTACCGCTGCTAAAAACCGCTCTAAAGCGTGAATTGCACAGAGCGGGTGCGGGTCGGGTGCGAGTCTGGTCAGTCCGCACCCGACTCGCGCCCGGCCCTCACCCGACCCTCACCTGCTCTTGTGTGTTTCACGCTTAACAGGTGGTTACGATAGGCGTGGTTCACACATTGTGATGTCTAAGTCGAATTGAGAGGCTTACGTTAAAATACAGAATTTTTATCTGCTTTTATGTTTTCGTAATTATTGTTCAGGATATCTGCAAAACCTGCATTGTGAAGAACCTATTTTAGTAAACCGCTGTGTTTGACTTTGAAGTTAAACTTTTTATTCCTATATAACGTCTTATAATGATGACAAATAACTGATACTCTACATGTTAAAGAACCTGGTTTAATAATTGAAATTAATCAACTGTTGTAATATGCATCCAACTGAAAAAACGAAAAATTATATAGAACAGCAGATATTCTTTATTGCGACTCAAGAATGGTTCTCTTGCACAAAGTAGTTACAGTTAGGAATGAAACTAATATTTCTTTTTTCAAATTGACCAATGTCGGTTGTCATCATCGAGTATATAACCGGAAATAGAGACAAAATAAGTGCCATCCATCCCTGGCAACTCATCAAGTAAATGGGTTTTATATCACTTTTAAATATCAACTCTCGTTTGCGTTGAAATCACAAATTATAAAACTGAAACAGTACAGCGCCAACAACTGACCTGTGTGTAAGTCTCCGTATATTCTAAAAATATTCTGTATTTATTGTAATAAAGATAATATTTCTAACAATGGGGGCTGTTCCATTCGGTGGTGTGGGAAAAACAGCAAAACATCTAATTAAAAAGACAAACGGAATCACTTTTCATCGGTAATTAAATATTAAATATGTAATTTTGCAATTTTTGTCCACCATAGTAAGGCTCAAATTAAACTGGTCGATTTGAAGGAAAACAATTGACGACACCCGTCAATTGTTTCGAATTCGGGCTTGTCGATCAGAGCGAAGTTGTCACAGTAATGATTTGGCAGAATAGTTTTCGAACAAATTAAATGACATTTCGTCTCTGTTTCTGGTTATATACTCGATGGTCGTGATAGTCGTGTTTGTAAAGAACGCAAACGGTTGTTTGGTTTCAAAAAATAAATATACGTGCACAAAAATCTTGTAACTCGGTCTGCTTAGTTAGCAAAAGTGGTAGCCACGGTGAGGCAACAGAAATTGGTTCAAGTCCAATTAGCAACAAAACAACTAACTAGTTTCACTGTATCCAACATATTGAAGATATCACTTGTTCTTAAGGGGATTACAGATCGAACCCACCGTCCCGGGTGGGATGGAGTCGGCGGCCTTGTTTCTAGAATCATGGCAAGATTAAATTAGATACATGGCTGCCGACATCAAGCCGCCCGGCTGTGTCGCCGGGTCGACGGTTTCGGTCTGTAGAACCCTTTAAACAGATTAAACTAGGTGTAACATGTTTTTTTTATATATCACTTGGCCTTGCATACATTTTTTAAGGATTTAATAAGTTCGTAATTTAAAGACGGTGATAGTTGGTGACAAACACAACATTATTAAATATCTCTTAACTTTTCTATGCACATTTTACACATTTTTCTATACCCAAAAAAAGTCGAAACAAGACTGGACTTATAAAATGCAAACATTCACTAAGGAGCTCCACAAACTGGTCACGCCTCGGCTTTCATACTAACTTGTGACAATACTGTAACTGTGAATTTTATTTGCTGCATGCAAATTGTTGCGCTCATTCTTCATGATTACGGTACTATTGTTTATTTATTTATTACAAATTGAAATGACTTTTTTTGACACATACATTACTTACACTTCTTCTTACTTATACTTACATTTCTTGGACCAGGCATTTATTATGACCCTGCAAAATTATTATCGAACAACCGGTCAGACTAAAATGCCTTCACTCACTAATATCGCTCCCGCTTGGTGTATCCATTCGACTCAAAATGATTAATTGCAAGTAGTGCAAAATACTGGACAAATACAATTAGCAATAACAAAACATTCGCGCAGTTGCGTAGTCTGAAAATTACCTGAAGCTAAAGACCACACATCGATAGCCGTTTAGAATAGCGACCTTTCTCCAAAGTATTTAATTAATCAGGAAAATGGTTTAAAAAAAAGAGACATGTGTGTCGCGGAAAATTGACAAATTGTAGAATCTCAATATTGTCATTTAATTATTTTAACCAATGAAAAGCTCGGTGTCCCATTCACAATAAAATTTCATCAGAAAAATAAAATTTCGTCATGTTTCGTTGGCTGCCGAGCCGAGGCGTAGCGTTTATAGGTGAGTGAAGACCTTTAAGCTTCTCCCATATATGTATTAAACTTATATAAAAAAAAGACTTTAAGTCAAAAGAGATAAAGCTCAGTATTTTTAAAGACCTCACCGTTTAAATCTGGTCTACCGATTTTGGGATATTATATCAAATTGAAATACATATTTTTCCTATAAACGCGCTCGTTCCGTGGGCCACCGTATATTAAACGTCTGTTTTTACAAGACTTTTGAATTCT